GTTTTCTGAGGTTCTCACGGGTATTTGTATGTAGATCTTTGGTTATTCGGGTTTTCTCCCACGTAAGATTGGAAGTATCTAGGCGACATTTCGATGAAGTCTCATTTAATATCTTCAGGCTTGTTTCTTCAGCTTTGTGCTTTTCAGAGTAATGTGAGCTTGCAGCTGTTTCTTCCTTTTAACTGCTAGTGGGGATGTGACTTGATTGGGTGGGGGCTTGGCTGTGTTCTGATTGGGTGGTGGTGTGTTCTTGTTGGTAGGGGGTTTGGCTGTGTTCTGATTGGCTGGGGGTGTGTTCTGTTCAGGTGGGGGCTTGGTTGTGCTCAGGTTAGTCTTAGTTGCTGGAGGATTTGAGCTGGTGAGCTGTGATCCTGCTGTTCGGCTTCGCATTCGTGGTCGTGCTGCATCTTCATGGTAGGCGTCAGTTCGCTTCATGTATGGGTCAGAGGGCTTTGAAGCAGGTAGTGGTGCAGCTGCGGTGCGGCTTCTGAGAAGCACAGAGCCGAAGACAGAAGCCGGAAGATGATGAATGAGACTTCATCGAAACGTTGCCTAGATACCTCGAATCTTACGCGGGAGAAAACCCGAACAACCAAAGATCCATATATATATATATATATATACCTATGGAACAGCTGTCCTGCCTTACATAAGAGGTACTACAGACAAAATCAGTAAGATACTACACAAGCATCACATCAAGACTCCCTTCAAAACAGAAAAATAACAGCCATCCTAAGAAACCCCAAAGATAAAATTGGCTTGGAAAACCAAGCCATATATGAAGTCCTCTGTGCATCATGCCCTGCCACATACATTGAACAGACCAATAGAAGAATAAGTACCCACCTGGATTAACACAAAAATGCAGTAAAAAAGCTGGAACACACTTCCTCACTAGTCAACACATGAAAGCAACAGGTCATAGAATCGACTTCAATGGCACCAAAACCCTAGCCATTATAGAAAACCCCAGCCACAGAATTATCAGAGAAGCCATAGAGACTGAAAAAAGACCTGAAAGCATGAATAGAAGAGATGATTCCACCAGACTGTCAATTATTTGGAAGCCTTCATTCACAAACAAAAAAATCTCCACACCACAAGCCAGGCAAACACCTGGGCACAAACAGATCCCCCCGATACCTCCAGCTCAAACACACCCCAACCAGGCACCCAGATGAAACCTAGCTTCCTAATAAATGATAGCCATCCATTTACTCGGAGCCAAGTTGCACTAAAAGCCTCCAATACAGGAACACAATGTTGCCAGCCTATCAAGACAAAAAAAGCCACAAAACAGACAGAAGATATTAGAAACACCAATCAGGCAGAACACAGCTAATTCCAAGACCAATAAACACAGACCAAGACTCCCAACCAATCAGGATGAAGAAAAAACCATTCTGGCACAGCAGTAGGCTAGCCCCAAATTTAAAACTGAAACGGCTGTGAAAGTCTGACTCACAGACGAACACAATACAGAAGCCTGATGATGGCAGATGAGATTCTGCCAAAACGTTGCTACAACTTTAAAAGCACAACTATAATGACGTGGGAAAATACCCAAAGTTGAATACAATAACAAAATCACACAAAAATAATCAATGGAAATCAAATTTAGTAACCCATGGAGGTCTGGATTTGGAGTTACACTCAAAATTAAAGTGGAAAAAAAAACACTACAGGCTGATCCAACTTTGATGTAATGTCCTTAAAACAAGTCAAAATGAGGCTTAGTAGTGTGTGTGGCTTCCATGTGCCTGTATGACCTCCCAATAATGCCTGGGCATGCTTCTGATGAGGTGGCGGATGGTCTCCTGAGGGTTCTCCTCCCGCATCTGGACTAAAGCATCCACCAACTCCTGGACAGTCTGTGGTTGCAACGTGGCATTGGTGGATGGAGCAAGACATGATGTCCCAGATGTGCTCAATTGGATTCAAGTCTGGGGAACGGGCGGGCAAGTCCATAGCATCAATGCCTTCATCTTGCAGGAACTGCTGACACACTCCAGCCACATGAAGTCTAGCATTGTCATGCATTAGGAGGAACCCAGGACCAATCGCACCATCATATGATCTCACAAGGGGTCTAAGGAGCTCATCTCGGTACCTAATGGCAGTCAGGCTACCTCTGGCGAGCACATGGAGGGCTGTGCAGCCCCCTAAAGAAATGCCACCCCACACCATTACTGACCCACTGCCAAACCAGTCATGCTGGAGGATGTTACAGGCAGCAGAACATTCTCCACAGTGTCTCCAGACCCTGCTACATCTGTCACATGTGCTCAGTGTGAACCTGCTTTCATCTGTGAAGAGCACAGGGCGCCAGTGGTGAATTTGCCAATCTTGGTGTTCTCTGGCAAATGCCAAACGTCCTGCATGGGGTTGGGCTGTAAGCACAACCCCCATCTGTGGACATCGGGCCCTCATACCACCCTCATGGAGTCTGTTTCTGACCGTTTGAGCAGCCACATGCACATTTGCGGCCCGCTGGAGGTCATTTTGCAGGGCTCTGGCAGTGCTCCTCCTGTCCCTCCTTGCACAAGGGCGGAGGTAGTGGTCCTGATGCTGGGTTGTTGCCCTCCTACGGCCTTCTCCACATCTCCTGATGTACTGGCCTGTCTCCTGGTAGCACCTCCATGCTCTGAACACTATGCTGACAGACACAGCAAACCTTCTTCCCACAGCTCGCATTGATATGCCATCCTGGATGAGCTGTACTACCTGAGCCACTTGTGTGGGTTGTAGACTCCGTCTCATGCTACCACTAGAGTGAAAGCACCGCCAGCATTCAAAAGTGACCAACCATCAGCCAGAAAGCATAGGAACTGAGAAGTGGTCTGTGGTCACCACCTGAAGAACCACTCCTTTATTGGGGATGTTTTGCTAACTGCCTATGCTTTCCACCTGTTGTCTATTCCATTTGTACAACAGCATGTGAAATTGATTGTAAATAAGTGTTGCTACCTAAGTGGACAGTTTGATTTCACAGAAGTGTGATTGACTTGCAGTTACATTGTGTTGTTTAAGTGTTCCCTTTATTTTTTTAAGCATATATACATACCGTGTTTCTCCAACAATACAGCCTCCCCCAATAGGAAGTCCCAGCATGTTTTATCGGCATAAAATCAAATTAAGCCCCTGCCCCCAAATTAAGGCTTATATTAAACATGCAAAATGGGGGGAATGGTGTGGGGGGGGGGCTTGCTGTTAGAAAGTACTTTTGTTGCATACCCGGATATGGTGCTGCCTGCATTGACTTTGGTGTTGGTGGGGCACTTCGTATCGGGAAACCTTCTGCCACCATTGCTTTCCCTTCTCCCTGTGCTGCCGTGGCATTTAGAGCAACAGCGTGGCATTTGGCGCAGCCACGTGCGCCCAGCCAGGGCTCCTCCCTGCAACCAGAGCAGAGGGCAGCCCAACCCCACATGGGGAGGTGATTCTCCCGGGGCTACAGCACAGGATCAGCCCACCCTGGGATAAGCACCCAGCCTCCATCCCTGCCTGGCGCTGGGCAAAGCGCGAAGAGCTTCGCCTGGGGCGCCCAGTGCAGCTGACAGGTGGGCCCTCATGCCCGGCAGCAGAACTCTCGCCAAGGCAGCGAGCGCCTCCCTGCCAGGCCCTCTGCTCATCCTGCCAGGGCCTCACCAGAGCCGTGTGGGCTGGGCAGAGCCGAGAAAGTAAGCCGCGGGTGCATGCCCGCCTGCCAAGAGAAAGGGCCGGGCTGACCCGAGCTTGGCTTCCTTCCCAAGTCCCTCCAGCCCAAACCCGAAGGGGCCACCAGGAGAGGCCGCCTGAGGCAGTGATAGCGCCCACACATCTGTGGACAGGGAGGGGAGGCGACGGCCTGCGCCACGTCCTCCTCCGAGCTGAGCACCACCGAATCAGTGCCTCTGCCTGATGCCCATGCTGCTGCAGCATTTGGAGCTTCCGGAGCATTTGGAGCTGCATGGGGATGGAGACGAGCTGGGCGAGGGGTGGAAAGGAGGGGCGGCTTTGGGCTCTCTCCACTGGACCCGCCAGCCAGGGAAGCAGCACTGCTGTCACCTCACCTCACCTCACCTGTCCGCGGACGGGTGGGCACTATCACTGCCTCAGGGGGCCTCTCCCAGTGGCCCCTTCAGGTTCAGGCTGGAAGGACTTGGGAAGGAAGCCAAGCTCGGGTCGGCCTGGCTCTTTTGCTTGGCAGGTGGGCGCGCACGCACCTGCAGCTTGCTTTCCCGGCTCTGCCCAGCCTGCACAGCTCTGGCGTGGCCCTGGCGGGATGAGTGGAGGGTCCGGCGGGGAGGCGCTCACTGCCTTGGCGACAGGTCTGCTGCCGGGCAGGAGGCCCCGCCTGTCAGCTGCTCTGGGTGCCCCAGGTGAAGCTCTTTGTAGTCTGCCTGGCGCCAGGCAGGGATGGTGGCTGGGTGCTTCTCCTGCGGTGGGCCGATCCTGCGCTGCGGCCCTGGGAGATTCACCTCCCCATGTGGGGTTGGGCTTCCCTCTCAGGCAGGAGAGGCTTTGTCATACCAGTAGTAGAACGTTGTTTTTAAAAGAATTGGCTTTGCCTTCTAAGGCGAAGGGAAGGCGGCGACAGGAACTCCTGAAGCCAAGTGTCTCCGCCGGGTTCTGGTTGCAGGGAGGAGCCCTGGCTAGCCGCACGTGGCTGTGCCAAACGCTGCGGCGTTGGTCTAAACACCGCGGCAGCACGGGAGAAGGGAAAGCAACGGTGGCGGAAGGTCTCCCGATATGAAGTGCCCCACCAACGCCGAAGTCAACATCTAAGCTGTCGCTGCCCACCCACCCGAGGATGCAAGGGGGGGGGAATTAAGTCACCCCGGAAAAGACAGTTGGCAAGTGTATTGGCAAATATATTTCCAAATCAATTAAATAGAAATTTGCATGATTTAAATTCATCTGTTTATGTTACATTAGGTCAACATTCTGCTTGGTTACTGTCCTTCACAAAAATCAACAAACGTATGAAGGTTTTTTTCAACATTATTATGGATAATCAATATCATATTATTGAAATTAAAATATTAATGTAGAATTATCTACCATAAATGATAAACGAAAGTTCTTAAAAAAATAACTTTAATGTTAACATAATTTAAAATACCTTCCTAACATCTGAACTTTTGGGTTCTGTTGTCCAAGTAATAATTCGAGATACCGCCAGACGAGTTTCACTTGAATTTACAAAATCTCCTGGATCCATCTGTTGTGCAAGTGTCTCTATGTATTTAAGGATTGCAACTTTCACCTGTAAAAATAAAAAGAATCAAATATACAGAAAAGTATAATATCTAATGACATATATATGAGAATGGAATTATTTTACTTGAGAACTGCATAGCAATGCTAGTTGATGCTAATAGTAATTCAGAAATTATATTTTTTAGAGCAGCAAATCAGTGGATTGGATAAAAAATGGCATTTCAGTGAATTAGCTGAAAGGATCTTGAGGAAGAATCATACCAGTAACACCTGTATCATTCAAAAGCATATTTTGGACTCCAAATGCAAAATAAATAGTTCAAAGAATTTTAAACGTTATGCTGCAGAAAGACAAAGAACTACAGAAAATATTTCTGCATACATCCAGGTTTTTTTCTAAATGGAAGTTTTTTTAATGGTAATTAATAAGATACTTTTAAATCCAAATTTCAAATATAATTTAAGGTGTGTGTAATTGAGAACAGCTTTAGGATATCAAAAATATAGTAGTGCCTTAAATTTAATGAGTTAACTAGAATTAGGATAGTTTTTTCTTTGTTTGATATATGTAACTGACAGAAAGGTTTAATTGAAAATTTGAAAATGTAATTCTTAAAGTAGGCAAAGTAACCTAACCTAAAGTAGGGTTATTGAAAATGTATTTTAGAGTTCCCATATTAAGACATTTTTTTTTTAAAATGATGCATCTGTTTAAAGAAAAACTCTCTGTGTTAAAAAGGATGGTTATAAGAGAAAAAAGTTATTATTCTGTAAGTGTAGTTTGAAGGGAGGGAATTAAATGCAATACTGAGGTTTAAAGCTTGTATGTTAAGCAGTCAAAGAAAAAAGAAGCACTAGACTTAAAAAGTTTTTTTAAAAAGTCTAGCATTTTAGTTATAGTATAAAAGCAAAAAGTTGAAGATAGAGTTTTTATCTTGTACTGTGCTAAGAGTAAGAAATCAATGTCTTTTTTTCCTTTCTTTTTTCTCCCTCATAACCCCTTTTCCCCACTCCTTTTTCTTCCTTTAATTTCCAATTTATAATAAAATAAAAAATTGAATAAAAAAGAAATTAAAATTATAAAAATATAGTAGTGCCAAAAATAGATATCCTAGCACCATAAATATATACAAGTCTGTAATTTTTTTTTAATGATGGGTTTTTAGATAATTTTAGCAAGTTTTCACCTAGCTGAAAACTAGAATATATCTGGAATAGATACAGAATGAAATACTTCAATAAGTTTTTAGTAGAATTGAATTAAATACATATAAAAAATAAGACACCATTTCTCTTGTTTCTGTTTCCTGACAGAAAATATTTAATTCTGGTATATACATTCCTTTAAATATTCTGCTAAAATGATTCAATAATTCCCTTTCTTTCTTTCTTTCTTTCTTTCTTTCTTTCTTTCTTTCTTTCTT